AACTATGGATGAATGAAAACTATGAATGAAAAATGAATGAAAATGTCTAAAATAACCTTTATATATACCTCATTGTCGTGTGTGTGTGCGTGGGAGAGTACTAGGGAATGATATGCATTATACTGAGATACTTATCATTGAAATTTGTGACACCTTCTGCTGTTTAGTCTTAGTCTTAACGGAATCATGTGGCCAAGAGTTTCAAATAATCGCATTATTATATTACAAATAATTTCAATATTACAATTTGTCCATGCCGAACAAATTGAAAGATATACAAGTGGAAGGAAAGCATTGGAAATGGTGGAATACTTCAATGAGAAATTTAAAATTGAATTGAATTTGATTCTCAACATAAATGGAAGTGGATCTCAGGAGCTCGATAGCATTATTCAAAACATAGGGCAACCAAAAATAATAATTACAAAAGCAGATGGGAAATGGATGAATTTATATCACAGCTTTAATATGAATATCCTGAGCATTGTTGCTTTAAATCATCAAAATTCGAATGCAAGTTTTATGGCCTTGGAAAAACTTCTCTGGAGACGACATTACACAAAAATGATATTTTTATGCCAAGGCAACGATGGCGAAGAAATGTTGGATATTTTCCAAAAATGTTGGCAACAAGGATATACATCGGTATTACTTTGGTGGCATGATACACCCTTTACATACAATCCATATCCAAATATTCGGATCCTACGATTACAACAGCACATACAAAGTGTGCAAAATAATTTCCAAACATTTGAACTGAAAATTCCCATTGTCAATTTTCCACCACGTTGTTTCACATATCGTAATCGAGGAGTTGAAATACAAACGGGCTATTATTGGAAACTAATTGAAACCTTCATTACTCAGCACAATGGTACAATGCAATATGAGTTCTTTGATATTTGGGCTGTAAATTATAGCCGAGAAACGGTCACCCAACTCATTGTCAACGAAGGTTATGCTTTTGTAACAACCATGATTATACCCTAGGACGATTATGAGAGTAGTAATGCCATACATTTTGGCAAGACTTATCTTCTAACAGCAACGGGCAAGGAGATTCCCCAAAACAAATATCTCTTAATAACCTTCAGCATGGAAATTTGGCTCATGGTCTTAACGATTTTCGTAATACTTTTCATACTCATAATGTTGATTAAGCTTCATTATATTCACATCCTCGATATATCGGAATCAATACTACACTCCATAAAAATTATCCTTTTCCTGGACGATGGCATACTGCCAAAAAAAAAACGTTTCTCACATTTATGATCACACTTCTCTTTCTTTGCACTGGCCTTTCTCTTACGGTCAGCTATAGCTGCAACCTCTCCAGCATGTATATATCACGAATCTATGAACCAGATCTGCAAACGTTGGAAGATATTTCCCACACCAATCTACGCATTCATCTCTACAGTTTGGACTATGAACAATATATGGCAGTGAAGAATTTACCCCAGTTTATTTACGGACGCATGTTCGTTGGCAGCAATTCAGAGTTTCAGGAAAATCGACAAAATCTAAATTTTCATGACTTATCAATGGCTGTGGATGATGTCATGGATTTCTTATTGTTTCAACAGTTCTATATGTCACGACCAATTGCTAAATATATTGCTGAACCATTTTTCACACTCCCCCTATTTGTTACCATTCCCCATCGTTCTCCCTTTCTGGATGCATTCAATCGCTACATATCTTACATTCAAGACAGTGGTTTATTGGCCAAATTCAAAACCGACAGTAAATGGGATGGTATTTTAAGTTCAAATTTACAATTTTTTCCCGATGAGGAACGAAATCGTTCGCTGTCGATGACCTATTTGCAGTATGCCTTTATAATGTGGTTAATTGGATTGTTGGCGGCCTTAATCTGTTTTTTGGCCGAGATTTTCTACTGTCGAAACCGAACGGAACGTCACTTTTAAAGGAAATCAATAATGGAAAAATAGAGAAAATAGTCTACAGAAATGTTCACAATATGTTAAACTTATTTTATTATGATGATACCTCTGGTGGAGGAATGAGGTTATACACTCTATTATACATAACGTCAATTCCTATTTACCACTTTAACATTTAAAAAATAAAAATTCTCATTTACGTTATCATGATTGCTCACACTCTATAATTAAAATGAGAGCTAAGTTCGGCCGGATTTGATTTTTTAATTGTCATAGGGGAAATTAAAAGTCAAAATTTTGAACTCGAACAAATTTAATGGCCCACATTATAATAATATCACCACTTAAATTTATTTTGTATAGTTAACAATTAAGTTGACAATTGACAGTATGTCCTTGCACAACAATGTAATAAATGCATGTAACTATTATTAAGGGAGTTAAGATCCGCAGAGTCGACCATGTCGATTCTCTATTGTGAGTAAATATTTGAAGGGGAGGTAAGGATGATTTTAGCGAAATATTAAAAAAAGTTTTCCGTCACAAGTTCCCACAAAAACTGTCCACCTGAAAACATAATAATACATACAGGGTGAGATAAAAAAACTGCAACAAAGTCAAACGCAAAAATATTTATACATTTTTTAAATTATATTGAATGAAAGCCAAAAATGTTGGAAATAGAATCAAATTTTGGAATAAGTTTCGATTTGTTGGATTTGGTCACCTTTGGCACGAATTATGGCCTTCAAACGGCCAATGAAACCGTCACACGCTACCCGAATGTTACCACGCGGTATTTTGGCCCATTCCCGGCGAAGCGCTTGCTTGAGGTGATTTTTTAGTGCCAACCTTGCTTTTCAAAATACTTCAGACATAATAGCCCAACTGATTGGTATCAGGAGATTTTGGTGGCCATTGTGGGCTGGAGATGAAGCGAGGAACCTCATTTTGTAACCACTATTGGGTGTCGCGTGCTGAGTGTGATGGTGCTGAGTCCTGTTGGAATGTCTAAGGTCTGCGGCCAAAATGTTTGCAAGCTTTAAGGCACCCTCCAGAATATTTTCGCGATAATATTCGGCGCTTATTCTGATGCTTTAAGACACCCTCCAGAATATTTTCGCGATAATATTCGGCGCTTATTCTGATGCGACGGTCGATTGGAGAGCAACCATCGGCTGTTATGGCTGTCCACACCATCACCATGGCCGACGCTTGAGTTCTAGTGGCCAACCGAAGGTGCACATTTTCAACTAACCTGTTTGGCAAGTAAACACTATAATTTTGTTTCCTTACAAACTACTGGACAACGAATGTCTTCTAATCGAAAAAAACCAAATTCGGCAGTTCACCATTTTCGCCCAAGCGAAGCAACTCTTTAGCTCTTTTGAGTCTATTTTCTTTCTGTTGCGGCGAAAGTCTTCACTTTGGCTTTACCCCGAGCTCATTTTTCAATATTTGAATGTTTGAATGTTCAGGTCACGAGCCATTTTTCGGCCATTGCGACGCCGGTTGCGATCAAGTCGCTTCTTCACTTTTCGAACCATTTCTGTTGATGTTGCTGTTTTCTTCCGACCAATTCCGTGACGTCGGGCTACGCTACCAGTATCACGGTAACGAGCGATGGTACTTGGCACAAAAGATTTATTCACATTTAAATGCTGTAGTGCCCTAACCACTTGTGGTTTTCCAGCCAAATATAAAGAAATCACACTCTCAGGCTTGAATTCCATCACGAATAACTTTTTTTCTGGAAAATTCTCACCAAAATGCTTTTGTACGCTTGTAAACAATATAATGAGCTGTCACTGGAATAATTTCAACAGCTGTCCGACGAGTGGCTTAGAAATGACAGCAGAAGTTGGTTGCAGTTTTTTTCATCTCACCCTGTATATATATCTTTAACCGAGTTCGGGTTAATTGTGCACTAAATGACCAATATTAATCCAAATGACCTAATTTTTGGCACATCCGACCGAATTCGGTCTAGAAGTAAGAACGTCAAATTTGGTGAAAATCGGATTAGATTTAGCTATAGCTGCCATATATATATTTCATCCGATTTGGTGTTTAAGTCCCTCACATTCGTAATATGCAGCCCATAGGAATGGTAATCGGTACTAGATATCTGATACAGCCCAAAAATACCTCTGCCAAATTGTATTAAGATCGGATCAGATTTGGATATAGCTCCCATTTATATATCTTCAACCGATTTCGGGTAAATTGTGCACCAAATGGCCAATATAATTCAAAATGACCTGGAATTTGGGCACATCCGACCGAATTCAGTCTAGAAGCAATCACATTTGGTGAAAATTAGTTCAGATATAGCTTTAGTCACAATATATATGTTCCATCCGATTTGGTCTTTAAGTCCCTCACATTCGTAATATGCATTCGACAACAATGATATTTGGTACCAGATGTCTTATAGAACTCGGAAATAACTTTGCCAAATTTTTATCGAGATTGGCTAAGATTTGGATATAGCTCCCATATATATCCTTAATCCGATTTCAGATTTATTATGCAAATAATCAGTCCAAATTGAGGTGATTTCCGGATGTACGTTTCTATTGGCTATAAAGGTTATAATATCAGACTTTTGGCATTTCGTTTTGTAGTGTACGAATGTTGAAGTGTAGTACACCATATGGCCGACCTTAATCAATTGTAATAGCCTTCAATTAAAGCCTCCGACAAAAGTATCCATTTAGGCATAAACTCACCATGAAAACTTAGTATAAATTTGTGAATAACAATCACTTGTTTCATAAGCCAGACGTCATTGATTATAGCCATAGATGAACAGACAGATAAGAACCCTTGGATCATTTATTACCTACTCAATTTGACATTTAGAAAATCCGCCTTGACGGCGTGGGTGGCGTATGCATAACACGGAACTATTTATTATTTGATTTGATTTTCAATTTAGTTTCCTTTATCAAAATTGGAAGTAGTCTTTACGAAGTCATGGGGCGAGGTAGTTTATCCATTCCATTTCTATTAATTGCAATTGTACAATTTGGTCAAAATAATAAAAATGATGAAGGATATGAAATTGGAAAGGAAGCAACGAAAATGGTGGATCGTTTCAATAAGCAATATAAAATTGAATTAAATTTAATTATCAACATAAATGCAAGTGGAACTCAAGAACTGGAGGATATTGTGGAGAAGGTGCAGCTACCAAAAATATTAATTACAGAAGCAAATGGGAAATGGAGGCATTTGTATCATAACTTTAATATGAATATCCTGAGCATCGTTTTGCTAAACCACGAGAATTTCAATGCAAGTTTCATGGCCTTGGAAGAACTTCTCTGGAGAAGGCATTACACAAAAATTGTGTTCTTATATGAGGAAAAGGAAAATAAACAAATGCTAGACATTTTTCAAAAATGTTGGCAACAAGGTCATACATCGGTAATAGTTTGGTGGCACGATACTGTCTTTACCTATGACCCCTATCCCCGCATAAAAATCATACAATTGCAAAACAACGATGGATTTGAAAGCCGCATGAAGGGAAATTTTCACAAATTTCAAATCAAAATACCGGTCTTTGATTATCCACCTCGATGCTTTAGCTATCGAAATCGAAAGGGAGTTCAAATTCAAACGGGATATTTTTGGAAAATAATTGAAACATTTGTCGCTCAGCACAATGGTACCTTGCGATTTGAATTCTTAGATGTTTGGGCTGTAAATACCAGTCGTGAAGCGGCAAAGGATGTTATTGTGAATTATGGCTACAGTTTCATACCCACCATGATTATACCCAAAGATGACTATGAGACAAGCGATGCCATACATTTTGCCAAAAATTATCTGCTGACAGCATCGGGCAAGGAAATTCCTCAAAACAAGTATTTGCTATTAACCTTCAACATGGAACTGTGGCTAATGACATTGGCAATTGTCGTTATACTTTTTCTGCTGACGATGTTGGTAAACCGGTTGTATTTAAATACCACCGATATTTCTGGATCGCTGTTATTTTCCATAAAAGTTCTAATTTTCATACATGATAGATTTTATCTAGATCTAAGCCTGGTTAATTTTATACTCTCTCTCGACTTTCTGTGTATTGGCCTGTTTTTTACGCTCAGCTATAGCTGTAATCTCTCCAGTATGTATATCTCACGGATATATGAGCCGGAGCTGAAAACCCTGCAGGATATCTCTCACACCCGTTTACGTATACAGGTCTATAGTTTGGATTACGATCAATATATGGGTTTTGAAAACTTACCACCATTTTTTTATGAACGCATGTTTGTCGGTAACAATACAGAGTTTCATGAAAATCGTCAAAATTTAAAATTCCCACACATCTTGATGGCCATGGATGATGTTATGGATTTTTTATTATTTCAACAGAAGTATATGTCAAGACCGGTTGCCACATATATTCCCGAACCATTTTACACCACACCACTTTTTATCGTACTTCCCCATCGTTCACCTTTTTTGGAAGATTTCAATCGTTTTATATCTCACATAAAGGACAGCGGTTTATTGGCCAAGTTCAGGTCGGAGAGTAAATGGGATGGTATCTTAGGTTCTGTCATTCGATTTTTCCCCGACGAGGAAGAAAATCGTTCACTTTCTTTGGCATATCTGCAATATGCCTTTATAATGTGGTTTGTTGGATTATGTGTGGCGATACTTGTTTTTATCGTGGAGATTTTTTGCTGGAGGCACAGAGAGAAATCTCTTTCTATGAAAATTAATACCAAACAATAATTTTTTATGTGTTTGTTTTCTCTTTTCTCTTTTCTCAAGGCAAAACTCAAAAATTTTTTAATTTTATTATATATTTATTTATATTAATATTATATTTTGAAGGCTGTTAAATATAGAAAAATTAAGGCAATTATGTGAATTGATGTGATATAATGACCCATGAAATGTTTAATATTAAAAATATAGATTTCGAAGTTTTTTTGATAATAAAAAAGCAGGTAAGTTCGGCCGGGCCAAAAATTTTACACCCTCCACCATTTGGAAGAAACTTGAAAAATTTGAAAAAAAAATTCTGTAGAAAAATACAAATAAAAGCCGCTATATGACAGCTATACGAAGACATGGTCCTGCATAAGTAATTTGTGTCATAGGCTGTAGTAACGGTTTCGAACTTTATATAGGAAATTTGAAATAATTCCGGTGAATAATGTCGCAAGAGTCATGAAAATACGGAATACCGTTATATGGGCGCTATTTAGACCATTCTCTTCTAATAAAGTAATCAGAAGGAACCGCTTGTTTGGATTATAAGACAATTCCACTGAATAACTTGGCTGAAATCATCAAAATACCGAATATCGGGGGGTACCGTTATATGGGGGGCCATACGATATCGTGAACCTATATAGATAATTCTCTTCCAGGCGATAAAGTACTCATAACGAACTACTTGTGTATAATTTCTGATAATTCCATTGAAAAATATGTCTAAAATCTACAAAATACCGAATATCGGGGGTACCGTTATATGGGGGCTATACGATATCGTGGACCGATATAGCCCATCTTCGAACACGACCTGCCTACAGACAAAAAAAACAGATCTGTGCAAAATTTTAGCTTCCTATCTTAATTTGTTTTGACTGTACCGCCATTACAACAGACGAACAGGCGGAGGGACGGACAGGGCTAAATCGTCTTAAAATTTTACGCTGATCAAGAAATTATATACTTTGTTGGGTCTAAAATTATTATTTCGATGAGTTACAAAAGGAATGACAAACTTAATGTATGGTGTGGAACTTATATGGTAAGAGAAATTCCAATCTATACGCAAAGTGATCCAGAATATTTTTATACCCTCCACCATACTATGGAGGGTATATTAATTTCGTCATTCCGTTTGTAACTCCTCGAAATACTCGTGTCAGACCCAAAAAAGTATATATATTCTTGATCAGCATAATATTCTAAGACGATTTAGCCATGCCCGTCTGTCTGTCCGTCTGTCTGTCTGTTGTAATCACGCTATCTTTCGAACGAATTGAGATAGAAGGCTAAAATGTTACCTCCCGATATTCGGTATTTTGATGATTTTAGCGACATTATTCACCGGAGTTGTATCAAATTTGGTATTTAAAGTTCGCAATGAAATCGTAAGACAGAAAATTGTTTGTGCAGGTCCACGTCTTCGTATATCCCCCATATAACGGTACCTCCCGATAATCGGTATTTTGATGACTGTAGCTACATTATTCACCGATTTTTTCTAAGTTTCGCATTTGAATATTGTAATGGCTAATGAAAAAAATTACCTATGCAGGTCCATGTCGTCCTATTGACCCTAATATGACAGCTACATTCGGCATTTCTAAGATTTTAACGGATTTAATTGTTTTTGAGAATTGCCAAATTCGTTCCAAATGGTGGAGGGTATTCAAAGTTCGGACCGGCCGAACTTACAGCTTTTATACTTGTTATACCCTACAACGCTATGTGTTGGGGGTATAATAAATTTGATTGGGCCAACAATTATGTAACACCTCGAAATATCGGTTTCCCACATAGGAAAGTATATATGGAACTTCCTATCTCGCCGTCCGTCTGTGCATGTTAATTTGTAATCACGCTACAAGTCGCAATTAAGGACCGATCCTCACGAAATTTTGCATGCAGGTGGGGTTATGGTCAGAATAGAAGCCTATGATCGCATTATATTTAGGTTTAGGACCAAAAACTGAAAAACTTCCTGCTTTTGCAGTTGCTCTACAGGACGCAATTATAGACCAATCGACATAGAAGTTAGCATGGGGCTAAAACTTAGGGCTGTGCAGAAGCCTTTTAAATTGGATGATCATCGGTTAATATTTAGTGGGTGAAATGGACCAAAACATTTGTATTAATTAAAATTAAAATTTTCCACCAAACCGCTAATATTTTTAATCCAGGCGAAATCACAAAAAGACGAAATGGTCAGTTCCGAACTATAGCTAGATGCCGATAGTAAATATATCGGATATATATAGGGAAATATATACAATGTGTATACCGGGTGAGATGAAAAAACTGCAATCAACTTCAGACTGCTGTCATTTCTAAGCCACTCGTCCAACAGCTGTTAAAATTATTCCAGTGACAGGTCATTATATTGTTTACAAGCGTACAAAAGCATTTTGTTGCGATTTTTCCAGAAAAAAAGTTATTGGTGATGGAATTCAAGCGTGATAGTGTGATTTCGTTATATTTGGCCGGAAAATCAAAAGTGGCTATCGTCAGAGCACTCCAGAATTTAAATGTGAATAAATATTTTGTGTCTCGTACCATCGCTCCTTAGCCCGACGTCAAGGAAGTGGACGGAAGAAAACAGCAACATCAGCAGAAATGGTTCGAAAAATAAAGAAGCAAACTGATCGAAACCCGGGTCGCAGTGTCCGAAAAAGAACTCGTGAGCTGAACATATCGCAATGTTTCATTCGGCAAATATTAAAAAAATGAGCTCGGTGTAAAGCCATTGAAATTCCAAAAAGTCCAAGAACTTACACCGCAACAGAAAGAAAATAGTCTCAAAAGGGCTAAAGAGTTGCTTCGCTTGGCCGAAAGTGGTGAACTGCCCAATTTGATTTTCTCCGATGATAAACAAAATGATCGCGTTTACTTGTTAAAGGGGTCAGCTGAAAATGTGATCCTTCGGTTGGGCAACAAAACTCCGGCCATGGTGATGGTGTGGGCCGCCATAACAGCCGATGGTCGCTCTTCGCTTGTATTAATCGACCGTGGTATCAGAATATATGCCGAATATTATCGCGAAAATATTCTGGTGGGTGTATTAAAGCCTTGGGCACGCAAACATTTTGGCTGCAGACCTTGAACATTCCAACAGGACTCAGCACCATCGCACTCCGCACGCGCCACCCAAGAATGTTTACAAAATCAAGTTTCTCGCTTCATTTCCAGCGCACAATGGCCACCAAAATCTCCGAATACCCATCCGTTGGACTATTGTGTCTGGAGTATTTTGTAAAGCAAGGTTGGCACTAAAAAATACCAAAGTGTCGATAACCTCAAGCAAGCGCTTCGCCGGGAATGGGCCAAAATACCGCAGAGCACCATTCGGGGAGCGTGTGACGGTTTCATTGGCCGTTTGAAGGCCACAATTCGTGCCAATGATGACCAATTCGAACAAATCTAAACTTGTTCTAAAATTTTATGCTATTTTTGACATTTTTTGATTTTACTTAATAAAATTTAAATAGTATGTATGTCCGACTAAAAAAAATTGAATGTTGTGAGTTCGAGACTCGACGTCGGAATACGAAGGGAATTCAATAAACTTGGAGGATTTATTGATGCAGATGCATTTTGGTATTGGGAGACCATACAAAATTTCTCAAATATCGAGATGAATGCATAATTTCACAAGCCAAGCATAAAATAGGAAAACATCCCAAATAAATTGTGGAGCACAGTAAAAACAATTTCCCCACTTGTTAATACTCCTCATCACATAAATCTCCATACATTGTATTCGGAATCTCTCAAATACGACATTCAACGTTCCATTCACATCCCCATAAATAATGAGTGGCGTTAATTAAATTTATTTATGCTGGCAATTAAATTCTTTCGCGATATATTTTAAAGAATCGCATGCGCAAATGAGACCCTTTAATTGCTCACAAAATATTTGAAAGAAATTCTTTAAAAAAAAAACCAAATTGTCTATAAAAATATTTTGTATTTTTCCAAAGACTTTGAGATAAACCACCTAAACGAATGAAAACGCACTCATTCCGACATACCTACATATATCATTATTAAGAGTAATTTTCTGCCAGCTGACATGCAGAGGGTAATTAAAACCAGTAAGGAAAGCTCAAAAGTCGGGCGGGGCCGACTATATGATACCCTACACCACTATGCATATTTAGTAGAGCTCTCGTAAAAAGGTTTATACAGGGCATTTCAGAGCTCTATGAGATATTTGGTACAAAATCAAAATCTATCTAATTCTATCGTGCATTTTACGAACTATAGCTATATCTGAACCGATTTTCACCAAGTTTGATGTATTTGATTCTAGGCTGAATTCGGT